AGGAAGCGCGGCATACAATCTCAATTTGTAACTGACTAGTCCTTAACTGAAGGACCAAAGAAAGCGGTAACATCACATGACTTGTTCTCCTGAAGAAAAAACCTCTTTGAAAAAGCTTTATCTTCAAGTGGTTACTAAAAAATGCATTATGTTCATTGCCACAACTGAATTTAAGGTGTATGTCAGTTTTACACATCCTCAGATTCACCATGAGTATTACTCATCCAGTAAAAACAGTTAATGTTTTCTGTTGCTGCAAGGAAGTTAAATAATGGTGTCATCAGGAAGCTACACATTTCTCATAAAGCTTGCAAAATGAAATTGGGGCTCTAGCCCTGAAAGGAAACATGTAATGAAAGACGCTTTTCCGTTGCATTATGGAAATAGGTTATTTTTTTTTGCAGTTGACATTTTCAGTTGGCACAGCATAGGTAAAGCACAGATGAAACTACAATAACGATGGCTGGGTTTTGTTCAAGTGTCCCATTCATGCCATTACAGTGACAATGAGCCAGAGTCAAGTAACGTCTGTAGGCTGTAAGACAATTGTGTTATAGTGGCCACGATCGTTATTTTAAGCCTTTACAATCACTACAATAGGAAACGCTGTAATATGACGATGGGTTTAAACATCTTGAAATGCCTCTCTATTATCTGTTGACATGTTTCTAGTATAGTAAAAGTATAAAACATATATGACTAAATGGATTTCTTGACCTCTGCTGCATGACTTTTGACAATTAATATGTCTCTAGCAAGTCGCTTAACTTTATGGAGGAGCGATACTAAATCTCCGAGGCAACCCTTTAATGAGATGATTTATAACTTCACATTAACACCGGGGCAGCTGTGCAGGTTTTCCTCAGGTTTGTTTCAAGTACCCCCTTTGCTTAAAAACTCATCCAAGGTGCAAAGAAACTGGAACTTGTGAGTATTTAATTTTATTTCAAAGGAGGGTGGTCAACAGAGGCAGAGCAAGGGCTTGGAATTGCTGACTCGGCTCCTGTCGCTTAATCTATTTGAGGTGTGATTAAAGTTTAATTCGTGCCCATCTCCTAATGCTGGCCGATGTGTGTGTTCTTCAGCAGTGAGTAGTTTCAAGCTGAGCCCAGGTCTTTTCTCTCTGTCTGGGCCTCACTTTATTCATGCCTGAGGGACGCCAAGAGCTGCAAACAACTGCATTTTTCATCAAGGTTACTTCCTGGAGAGATGTGCCTTGCAGTTGCTGCTCTCTCCCTCAGTTTGTTCCTGGCTGGCTCATGCATAACTTACCCTGCTCTGACCTGCAGCTCTCTGGGAGCAGCAGTCTGACCCGGGTCCTGCTAGAAGAACCACTGCTGTGGAGTCTGTGTGGGTTTACCTTATGATGTTTGTTAAGAAGCTTTGAGGATTGTTTTGATTATAAGACCTCTGCTAACACTTATTTTAGAAACCCATTTTGAGCATCTACAAGCAGTTTAGTTCATAACTACTAATACATGCTCTATAACACACTGTCAGAGTAGAGCAGATATAAGGCTTTTTCAACTCCTCTATACGAAGCACCCATAAACAGTTATTGAATGCTTGAAAACATTTCATAGTTTTAGTTATATGGAATTATGTTTTATTGAGTTGACCTATGAATACTTTATACATGTGTTGATAAATGCTTTATACAGCTACATTTTATAGTGTTTTCAAGCGCTACTTATTGGCAATTACATAGAAAAACCAATAAATGTAACAAAAATAATTTAAGATTAAAGTGTTTTAGCTTTTATAAAGTGTTTCTATACTGCTTGTTGATGTTATATTGAATAAACCAATCAAACACATTACATGCGTTGTTACATTATGTTAGTGCAGATAACAATTGAACACTAAAGCAGCCATTTTCTAATCACAAGTGCATTATAATCCATGGTACATTCTGCCTTATTCCATATTAATGAGGGCAGCCTCACTGGATGATGGTAAACACAACTCAACAAACTCAACTAGTTCACATTTCTATTGGGAATACTGACATGCTTGGCATTAACATTTTTATTCCCTGAAAAACAACTCTGCAACTTCTGGAGAAAAACATCTATTTATGAGAATATTTTTACATCAAAATTCATTTGCAATTATAATCAAATCCCTCTTTTTCTTATTTATTTGCAGGATTATTAATGCTGCAACAACACATTTAGTTTTAATTGAGGGAAAATATGCAATGTCAGATGATTTTCTTTCGCTTTCATTAAGACTGCACTTCTTTTTTTAAATACAGCAATCAGTGCCACAAACAAGGTCTTATTTATTCTATTCAGAGTTTACTTTAGCAAAAGCATCCACAAGCAGTAAGGCAATTTCAGCCTATTGAATTAGTGGAATAAATTAGAATTTAAAGCAAAAAAGAATGAGCTATTTACATCATAATTCACACTAATCTATGAAGCCCCCATTTTAAAATCGAACCTAAGAAGACTGATGTGTGCGAGGTATTGATCTGGATTTGAAGAACTAACCTCAAATTGTGGTTTATTATTGTCTGTTTTGGAGATGATTGGGTTAAAACATATAAGAATAATGTTTTTTGTCATGTTTGATGAATATCTTTTTCAAGCGTTAGAGTATGCATGTTTCCACTGAACCAGCATCTCCTGTAAGGTCTACAACACAAAGATAATCTCCGGTCATTATGGTCCTGTTAAATAGGGTATAAAATAAAGCAGAATGGCTGTTGGACTGCAGACTTTCATTTCAGGGCTGTACTGTGCAGTCTTGCAGCTCCTTAGTGTCAGACATTATCACCACCACTACCCTCAACCTCACCCTGCCCCTTGTGACAATTACTGCCCTACCTCCCTATTCAGTACGTAATGAGAAAACTGACTGATCGATTTCTGTCCGGCCAGTAAAAGAAGGAAAGGAAGCATTTGGATACAGCAGAGACCAGACTCTGAGGCACAGCACTGCAGCATATCCATGATGATTGAGATTTTGTTGTTAATGGGAGATAGTTTAGATGCAATACAAATATTACATGTTGGATGCAGGTTGTAGTTTAAATACTGGTTTGCTTTGGGAATGCAACAAACGGGTCATTTGTATTAATGAAATTGCTTGTTTTGGCAGATGTTAAACCAAACACAGTATTCTTAATCTTGCCATGTAAGATTTTAAAACAACATTCAAAATCAAGGAGTTGGACCAAGTACAATTTTGGTATTTCTTTAACGATTAAAAGAGTACTCAGCAATTGTAGCATTGCACTAACACTGTCAGACTCACAATGAATATTTGATCGAAAGGGTCAAAATTGATGCGTAGAACAATAGATAATGATTTTATTTATCTCTCCAAAGATTCTTCTTCCTTTTCCAAACCTGGTATCTACCAACAATGCAACTCCAACACCGTATAAAGAGAAATAGATAAAGCATTGGGGGCGGAGTCCCGTTCATGCGTGTGAAAGTTGCTCAGTGGCGCATGATTGCACAAAGACGATTTCCTGATATAAAATTACTTGCGTTGTGCGTGATCTTCAGCAACCATTGGGCCCAAAGATCTAGCACACCAAAGTATTATTAAAAGCCGCCTCCTAGTCGCTTATTCTCAAGCTCATTCACCTGAACCAACCTGTTGGATGATTTACATTTTTAAAATGTGTTTTGCTGATTTAAGGCGTCTTAAGCCTTTTATGGCTAAATGGCAACATTTGGCCGGAAGTTGTATTTCCACGGTTTGGCCACTACAAAAAAAACGTTCAAGCCTGCTATCACTTCTTGTGCTAGCATCAAGAAGGGAGGAGTAGCCAGGGCCGTCCCTCCCTGCAGGCCGATCATGCAGGCTGCATGGGGCCTCACATCGCGCAGGGGGCCTCGGCTTATGAGCTCGGCTTGTGCGCAGTTCTCAGGGCAGTTCTTCTTGTTATTATTGAATTGATTATGATTATTATTATTAGTAGAAGTAGTTTATTTGCATTCATTATATTTTAATATTTTTGAGGCTAGTATTTGGCAGGAAATGCAGACGTATTCACCTGTAAACGCATACCGAACGACATACATTTACTATTTACCTCACTGTATAAAAAAGTAACTGTGTTGATAATAATAATAAACAGGAGTTATATTTGCAAAGTACTTTGTTTCCCCCAAAGATTTTTTCACTCCTGTCGGTTGGGGGGGGAGGGGGGGGGGCTCATCTCACAATGTCGCTTGGGGCCCCAAGTTGGCCAGGGACGGCCCTGGGAGTAGCTATAAAGGTTTGATGAATTTCTTCTAACTTCACACGTCGAATTGTGTTTTTATTTTCAAACATATAGTCTTCAGACCCAATAGACTAAATTGACATCACTTGAGGCAATTTGTAATATTTTGCACAGCTCCCTAGAGCCATAAAAGGCTTCAAACAACGTTTTCCCCTCACAAATGGAGTAGCATTTTCAGTAATATCTAAAAAGTATTTCATGTGAAAACTTGATGGACATACCCTTTAATTATTTGTCCATATAACCGCATCAGGATGTTTAAATAGAAGGCTGGGGCACGGTGCATTTGCTATAACAACTGTTGTGGTCCCGCGTTACAACAAAAGGCTTGTAAAAGTGCTTCCCACAAACTAATAAATTCATCTTGATTTATTATTGCGTTGACTGATTACAAGGATGTAAATATTCAGCTGGAAAATATATAGTCAGGGTGACAGAGTGTCTTCCACAAGCACCACCATGCTGTCCTGTTGGGTCAGAGCTTCACTGCCACTCACAATTATTTATTAGGCTACATATTCACTCTCTATCCATCACTGTATAGCCACCCGGTCCGGTCACATCTCTTTATGTTTATTACAGTGTCCCACCTTCCCGAGGAGGATGATTGACGTTTTCGGAGAGGACCGAGGTGGGACTTGCGCGCTCCTTCTTCTCCAATCGTGGCTCGAGGGGCGGAGGCTTTCCATCCATACTCTGATTATGAGTCAGTTACCAGACATAAGCGAAACAATAACAATTGGTGGTTAGTTTGTGTCCCAAACCTTCCAAGGCAAGTTTAGTCTTTTGCGTGTTTTAGCGCATCAACTCTCGTTTCATATCCGAGGTTTTATAAGAGGAGCTCAACGCGCTCCACTTTTAATCACATTAGGAGCCTTTAATGTTCAATCCTGTTTTTTTTCTTCCCTACAGTAGCGGTGCAGGAGTGGCCAAAGCCAAAAGCAGCGATTCAGATCAGATTTCACCTAAACCAGCTGGGAGAGACACGAAGAGAGAGAAAGAGAGAGAAAGAGAGAGAGAGAGAGAGCGAGAGCAGAGAGAGAGCGAACAGGGAGAGAGCAGGGAGAGGGTTTGTCAGTATCCCTCCTCCCAAATCCAGAAAAGCTTACCAAGGAAAAAGGAGGAGTGTCGGAGCTCAGAGAGACGCAGAGGAATCCAGAGGAATTTCCGAGGATATTTTCTCTTCTTTTTACCCCTCTTGCTATTAAAATTTAAAAGTTGGAGTCGAGGCAGCAGGGACCGTGGTCAAGGATGGACGATCAGACTCGGTTGATGCACTCCCACGGGGTAGGCATGGCCGGACACCCCGGCCTGGCGCAGCATATGCAGGATGGCACGACGGGGACGGACGGAGAGGGAAGAAAGCAAGACATCGGAGACATATTACAGCAAATAATGACCATCACAGACCAAAGCTTAGACGAAGCACAGGCGAGGTGAGGATTTACACAAAAAACACTTAAATTAACCAGAGAGCGGAAATATTAGCCAATGTTGTTGGGTATGTCGGGGGAGATAATAACATTGTGGTTCGTGTCTCTAAATGAAAGCAATTACGCCCAATGAAGTGCCGTGGCTGCGCGAAAGCGAAAAATATACAACAAAAACTTGCCACGGTTTATATTTGAATATTTATAACAACTTTTGGGGTAATTTTGTTCATCAAAACTATCGATTATTGTAGATAAGAATGATCTGTTTTTCAGTTTTCTTAAACTGTGGAGCAGTTGGCACTCAAAACACTTCTACCTTGTTACAAAGGAGTTTACGCTGGAATCCTCTGCTATAATAACATGTTGCAGATCCTTTCCTATAGTTTTGACCACTGACTTTTTTCCCCCAGTAATTATCATAAATATAATGCAAAATACATATGAGTCATGTTACAGGGGTAACTGGTTTAATTTAGTTGCTTATGTTTCAAGTAAATACTGTCTAATAGTGTATTTATGTGACTAAAATAATTTCATTCAAAGACTATGGATTCAGTTTAAATATGATTCACATTTTAATTGCTTTGGCTCCTGAGTGTTTTAAAATTAAGCTACATCTAAAAGGTGAAAACAGCAGAAAAATATAAAAAAAATCATCTTCATGATCAATTTTTTTTATCTAAGAATCTTTTAGGCGACTTTGTTACTATTGACACTTGTTTGAATATTGATCTGGAAAGGGATGTCCTGTCCTCTTTTTAGGAAACATGCACTGAACTGCCACAGAATGAAACCTGCTCTCTTCAACGTCTTGTGTGAAATAAAGGAGAAAACAGGTAAGAAGTTTCTTTTGTTTGCTGGATTTTAGTTTTTGTCTGCTTGCACTTACTGATAGTGTTGAAAATATTATTTATCAATAATATCAATTATTTCTTTATAAGAAAATAATATAGACCATGATCATTGTCACATTCTTCTCAAAGCCACTGTAATTTACTTGGCTAAAAAAAAATTAAGAATCTTATGATTTCTGACATGTTTCCCTGACAAATGTCACACACCATGCATGGGAACAACACTGGCCCCAGATGAGGCGCTGTCATTGGACAGGAGTGTTTTCATGCCGACATTTGGGCCTTTCTGTAGCTGGGCTTTCTCCCCCCCTCTCTGTCTGTTTTCCCAATTTGAAAGTGTTGCTAAGTGAGCTGTTTTAAAATGCAGATGCAGGTCAGAGGGATTTTCTGTTTATGTTTGCAACATGGGTCAAAGTCACGAAAGGGAATGTGTGAATTATTACTCACTTAACAGCAGATTAAAAGAAGAGTAGCTCACATGATGAAAGCCTGGGAATATTCTCTGAGGGATGTGGCACAGAACGCTGGTTAAGAGGTGGCATTTCAAGGGAGGAAATAAAAGAAAATATCCAATTCAACCTTATCTGTGAACACAACTTTAAAGCTGTCTTTGAGGTTACTGAGATAGCCCTGTTGCTTTGTCTGGTCGCAGTCACAGCCATGATGTTTAAAATAGAGAGCTGGTGTGGAGGGAAAACCATTTTTCCTAATTTCACATAAACTCTTATTCACCCACATTTAATTTGTATGAGTCAGAGTTTGGCACAGGTTTTCAAAACAAAAAAAGTACAAATGACACTCTGGGATATTCACCAGATTTGAAAGCTGAAGAGTGCTGTCTGTTAGGAGGAAGCCACAGTAGGTTGGGGCCCTGTTTCTAAATTGCAAGGCTTGGAAAAGTAAGAGAGTAATGCCTGGCTCTTTGTAAACTGTCTGGCGTCTCCCTGGGTTCAACCAGAGTTCGTTTCCAAAAAGAAGAACAAAGTGACTTGGACCTTTTCCTGGCTTTTCCCCCTGCCTCTCCTCTCTTCCCACCGTTCTTGGCAACCCGAGATTTCACAGAGCTTGTGACGAGAGAGAGGCTCCCCTCAGCCTGCAAATTAGGACCAAGTTTGGAAATGAACATATTTCAACTCTCTCTTCTTTTATGTATTGGATCCGCTATTTTTACTCAAAGGGTTTCTGAAAGGCATGCCCCAAGCCACAAATCAGCAGGTCGTAAATAACTGCGTTGTTTTGATAAAGAAAGAAAAGCATTTAAAAGTTAAGAATAACCCGAGCAATTTATGAGAATCGAGCCTTAATGGCTGCCTCTCTCTGTCCTCCCTGTCGATGTTTGAAGAGCTGAGCTGCGGCTCATCTTCGCCCATAGGAGGTTTGTGCAGACGAAACTGAAAATCCTTTCACTGCAGTGACAGAGAAAATGACTCAAACCTTCACCATGGCATTTACAGCCAAATGTGCTGAGTGCAGTGTATGCGAGCGGAGTACAGCCTGTAATTTGTCAGGTCTTTTTTATATTCTTTACAAAGAGTCAGCTTCTCCTTGCTTTTTACATTGTTGCAGTCAGAGTGTCTTTGAGAAGAAGTGCGATCAGGAGGAGACGAGTGCAGCAGTTCAGATTTAAAGCAGCTTCTCCTCAACCTTTTACTGAAGAGAGGAGAAATTTCTTTAGATCATATATCATTTGTTGCATGTAGTTATTCACGTGTGGTGCATGTTCCTCCTCATGGTATATCAGTGTTGTGTGAGTGTTGACAGCAGCAATATGGGACATTGCAGCAGAGAGGTGTCCATTGGCAAGCAGCTGACAAACAAGGCGGGAGTGCATGCCAATAGCAGACAGAGCAGGCCTTAACTGATGACCCCACCCCACCCCGCTCCCTGTATATTTGTGCCGGGGTCGGGCCTGTGTCACGACGAGAGAGTATTTAGCAAGCTTAAACAAGCTCAGGTTTGCACGCTGGCTTATGGAAAACCAGCGGCGGAGGTTTGAGTTACCACTCACAGACGTTCCTTTTGGCCGCCAGTGTTGTATTTCATGTTTGTCCTGACTACCGGCCCCTTGACACATAAAAAAAAAACTATCATCATTGTTTCTACAGTTTCCTGAGAAGCACTTAGAATTTGTTTTCCTGTGTTTGCTTCACATCCTGTGAAGAGAGTTGGAGAGCTTCTTTGTTTGCGTGGAACCATTACAGCGAGGGAAGCTGGCACGTACAGGTTGACTAAGTAAGAGAAGCCAGACACCAAGTCAGTGTTTCTGGGTGTCAGATTTCAGGCCTACTCTCCCTGTTTCTCCCCCTCTCTCCCTCTCTGTGTCTCTCTATCTGTAGGCCTGGGACTGTTTGGTCAGGCCACTCTGTGTCAGCAGCCTCACATTACCCCCATGCTCGCTCGGGTCAGATGGAGAGCTCCTGCATGACTAATGTGATCAGACGGATAATGCATTACACCGCTTGAACTTATCAAAGCTGTAGACCTGCTGAATCAGTTGTCCTGGTCTGGTCACTTTCAAGGGTCCTACCATGGATTTTTTGGTAGAAGTAGTTTTCATCGTTAGACATTTCTTTCGATAACTGTCCTGAAAGTGCTGTGCTGTGAGAAGGGTTTCAACTAACAATTATTTTCACTATTGATTAGTCTGCCACTTACTTTCTTGTTTAAATGAGAAATAGTTTATGGCACTTTTCCACTGCAGGACCTAGCATGGCTTAGTACGGTATGGTTAGGCCTTGGTAGGCCAGGTTCACTTTATGCTGCGTTTCCATTACAGTTTACCAACTGGGGTAGTAACTATAGTAACGCAGTGTAGGCGGGGCGATCGGCTGTTCGGCGGGCGGAGCGACGCTGCGTAAAACTGCCGTGACGTCATCTTCAATGCGAACCACAAAACCAAAACATCAGCCGTTAGCTGCTAGCCCTCAGAGCTCACAGCTCCTCATATCTGTTCAGAAACTAGACAAAAGTTAAACAAGTACAAACCACAGACTGTCTGTGTCATGGCGAATACAGTCGCTGGTTTATTTATGTCTGTAGGCCGTTGTTGTGAGTGTGGACGGTCGGAGCATATACAACGTTAACTTAGCCTGATTGATCTGATCTCCATTCAGAAAACACACATTTTAAAAGGTTTTTCGCCTGCCGTCTGTCTGCAGACTTGTCAAAGCATTAATTCATGGTTTTTACTAACCGGTATCAGTATGTTGTTACTTCGGCATCATATTGAAACGTGCATTACAATTAAATCACGGTAAAATATGTTCATTTTGTTGTAGTTGTAGCCCCCTTGCCAGCGATTCTCTCTGACCATTCAGCAGTCGAGAGTGTTTACGTCACTAGTTTAGCATATTCAGCCGGAAATACCCCTAGTGGAAAAGCAAAAGAAAACGTGCTACATGCTGCAGTGGAAAAGCGCCTTTAGTCTATAACCTTGGAAAAAAAAGACCAATTTGACTCTACATTTCTTGTTTTGTCTGACCAAGCAGTGCAACATTTTGAAATAGTCAACCTACAGTAATGTAAAACAGAGAAAAACGGCAAATCATCACCATCCGAGTGGCTGAAAACAACACAAGTTTGGCTTTTTGCAACAAAAAAAAACATACATAATTAATCACTTAAGTTGCACATTTTCGTAAAATTAACAAATTGATTTCTCATCAATCGGTCTTAACTGTAGTCCGTAGGCTGGAGATAAATGTAAAGCTGCATGATGATAAAATGTCAAATGACTATTTATGGCACTTCCTGTAACATTATCGTTAAACGTTGATGGAGGTACTAGTTGAGCTCCCATGAAGCGGTGGACGGACTGGTCACTATGGCTCCCAGTGCTGCTGTTTTTCAGTATTTAATTGACATGGCTGTCCATGATGAGTTCAGGGGTTAGTGTTGCCTCTCTTTGTTACTCTCCTCTCATCTCCAGTGACAGATGGAGGCATTAGTTTCCAATGTGGCGCTGTCCTGAAACTAATGGCTATGTCCTTGGTTTCCCCGCGCGGCTGGGAGACTGTATATCTGTCCCCGGGTTGGAAGTGCCGAAGCAGCAGTTTATCCCCCCCATGTTTTAGTTTCCACGGAAATAAGACTGAACAGGACTCTGTCTGTTCTCTCATAAATGACTTTGAATAAATAACTTCTAAACGAGTGCAAAGTTTTCCTTAGAAAATGTTGCTGGGATTTGATTTGCGTGTTTATAGGAAACTATTTCTCCACTTAGCAGAAACGTTTCTCACTGTGAATAATAATAAACAAGTCATATATTTTTCGAAGCAGTCTTTGCGGGGATGTGTATAGTTTTACGTTTATCTCTGCTTCTACAGTGAGTTATATCAAACATAAATAGACTGGATTCCTTTTTACCCACTGACATTTCCTCTATATTTATATTCTCTACAGCATCAGTGCACTTCAGAACCAACAGCGTGTGTTTTTGCTGTTTCCTGTCCTCTGGTATAAACTCACTCGCAATTAGGACAGCTAATATATTATGCAAATGTTGACTGGCTTAATTGAGACATGTTAATCATGTTTTAAGAGGCTAATTACAGCCCTGTATATCTGAGGTGGGAGTTGTAATTAGCCGTGATAACAGATCTGGATGTAGAATGGTCATACTCTGTGTGGCGACGTATGGCGAGTGTGTGTGTGTGTGTGTGTGTGTGTGTGTGTTGAGTGAGCAAAGCTAGGGTCGCTAGGTGTGTTTTATGTTGGTTTTTGCTTATTTTTTAATGGAAGTTGTATCAGCTATTTTCAGCATCTTAAGTTAACCAAAGTTTTCATATCTGTTTGTTGTCTCTGCATGCACGCAAGTTAAGTGTGTCCCTGTCTGTTTAATATTTCAGTAAACTATTTGTCCCTCCACATACTCTTTTCACAATTCACCTTCATGTAAATAGCAAGAAGGAGAAACAGATATCTATCAGTTCAACTACTCAACAGAACAATTAATGCATTGCATCTCTATCAATATTTTGTTT